CGGGGAAAAGAGTGGATACAGTATCATAAAACTGTTCCCACGTAAGTCGGGATAGATGAAACTTTGTTTCATGTCCCTTGTCTCGAGCCTCAGTAGCGTATTTACGTCGCAAATCGGTGTACAGACTTTCACGGTCGTTGTTCCCTATGTTCTTACAGAAAACATGCACAAGGAACTCGTACCATCGCTGTGCCTTGTCCTTTGTTATATCTGGATGTTTAAGGTCAGCATCAAGTTTCGGAATTATAACTCTGAATAGAAGTATTCTCAACTGGTTCAGTTAAGATTGAACTCAGTCCGGGTTTTTACATGTCCTTGCTTAATAAGGACGTAACCAACCAACACACAGCTGGCCAGTCACGACAAGTGTCTAGCTCATGCTGGTGTCGCTGCAGGATCAAGTAACTTGTTCCTGTAGGGTCAAACTACTGCATTAAAGCGGAAATCTATTGCTGGGGAGCGATATCATTCGTCTCCAGCATGACCGTAAACGCATTGAGCGTACGGGTTAGCGTGTCGAGGTCATGGTTGTTTATAAACTCGACCTGCTTGCTGTTCGCATCCCAGTTCGACTTAAGTCGACTGATCTGTCCCTTGTACTTATGGTTATTCCTGTGGTCTTGTCCACGTTGGGCCTGAAGTAGTTGATCGATGCGCTTCTGCTTGATCGCGATCATATTAGCAAAATATGATACGTCATCAGCACGGAGCTCGTCATGGGCGAATTCAATCTTAATGGTGTATTCGTCGACCGATTTATTAAGTTCGGTCACCTCGTCAGAGTGGAAATCCTCTGCGAGTTGGTGTAAAGCGGTGCAATCGAAGCGATTAAATTTGACATCGTTAATACGTTTACGGGAGTGTTTATTACCCCTTGTAAAGTCCATGGTCGAGGCCTTTCGGTGCTCTGTCCCTCGGATAGTAGTTGGTATTATAATCTTGGGAGATTCATGCGTCCGGATAACATACCCAGTCTTAACGGGTTTCCGACGATTGTCATCCCAGTTGGGTAAAGGTGGCGGAGTATTTTTACCTGCCTCTGGGTCTATAATACGCTCAACGACGGGTAACTCGCGGTCACGTGTCAGAACAGGCGAGTAATTAGCCTGAAGTTATGGTGGTAGTACCTCGTAAGGTATAGATACGCTGAGCACATCTGGCTTAGCGCTCAGGCCTTTATGCTTTTCGGGCGTAGTTGCCTGTCGACGTTCTGTCCACTTCTGTAGGGCTTCAGTAATGCTCGGAGAAACATGCTCGCGTAAGTGCTGTGTATGCTTTCCTGATCTATACATTCGATCTACATGTTTAACAGTCATGTCTTTCATAAGGGCGGCTAACTGATTCTTAACATCAGTGTTTTCAGTAATTAACTTACTTATGCGCGTTGGTCCAGTGGTCTCGGACGTAGATTCGGGTTTGCCACTTGAGCTTGCCTCCTCTTCTGGTTCCGTTATAGGTACCTTCTGAGATTCGTCTTTGTCCCCTATAATTGCGGACTTTTCTTTCTGAGTTTCGTCTGAAGAATTGGTTGGGGCGTCTTGAGACATGTCCCTTGTTTCACTTCTTGGCTTCGTAAATGCAAGCTTTGAAGTTGAAGCGATAGTTGGCCTTCGGGTTCTGTCTGTAAGAGTAGTCTCCTTAATCGGAGTGGCTACATCCTTATCCGAAGCATTGTCCTGTTGACTATTATTGTCGGAGACAAGTGCTTCGACTACGGTGCGGTTAAACGCATTGGCAGCGGCGGCGGTTGCTTCTGCGGCAGCGCTAGCGGCTTCTCTCTCCATCTTCTTACGTTCAGCCTTGCGTTTCTTTGCAGGTGTATTGTCTTTCTTTGCCATAATCCTAACTTATGACTTCAGTCTTTTTCTCTTAAGGAATGACTGTGCTTAGGAAAAATTTCGTGGTAGTTATCTACATTTACGTTCAAGTAGTCTAAGTAGTTAATACCTTTGCTGACTTTAAAATGTGTAAGATTCGGTCTATCAAGGCGATATTAACGTCTTAGAGCAACGAAACGCTTAGGTTAAGTCTAAGTATCGTGAAATTCGAAGTAAATAAACGAAATGAGTCTTTTGGTTAAAGTTAGGTATGCCTCGTGAAAACAGTAATACTCTGAGGGATTGTGAGGCTGAGACATTGCCTATATATAATCCTCTCAGTACTGTTTTCACCGAAGGGATTTTATTTAGTGTTTCGTTGTCGTTCTATTAGAAACTATGGTATGTTTCGTTGGGGCGAATCCGAGAGACTCATAAAATCCTATCTTTAGAAGAAAAAAAGAATAGAAAGAATAATACTCTTGATGTCCATAGTTAGTGCATTAACCAATAAATTGCCACTTATCAAGAATTACCGACTTAGCCTTCATCAGACTGGCACATCTGGATGGCTGAACTGAGGTTAAACTAGGTAACGCTAATAGTCCCTAGAAACCTATATTCGGTTGAGCCATCTCGCTACCGAAGTATTCAGATATAAATAGATTTGGAAAGTAAATATAGTTCTATTAATAGAACTAGACCAAATCTTATGTTTGGTATTTTACTGGGGCCTTTTAATGGTCTTGTCCAAATATCTGATATGTAAAATGGAAAAGGTATTAATTAATAGAACCGTTAAAAACAATTTAGGAAACTTAAGTTCCTTGTACTATTAAGAGTACGTTAATAGTTTACGTACTGCTTAAGAGTACGTTTATAACATAGAGTCTAATGTGGAGACCCGGCTACTACATGAGAAGGTCAATAAGGTTGTGTTCACGAACAAGGTCAAGATGCCAGAGTGTGGTTGGATGAGACAGAGATTGCGCCATCAGATCCAGGCTTGATGGCAGGTAACACTTCATCAACACAATAGAAAACAACAGTCACTTGACGTATGCTGTGAATATAGGCGCATTCATCAGCGGGGTCCAGCCTACCGGCCTGTTTTAATCCGTAGGGACCACGTTTTAGAATTAAGGTCGTATCAGAAGGGTACAGACCAATTGCTCAACACTACAACCTTTAAGTGAGAGCATGTAGACAACAGTATCTATAGCAAACTATAAGAAGGCTGTGTTAGCATCGAAATGGTGTATTTCAAGACTCTCAGATGCTGCATGTAAATGAGTGTTTGCTCATTGGTGGCGGAGGTGGCGGGATCATAGACCTCCAGGTAGTAGTCATCATATTTACACCCTCTTGTCGCCTTGTGCGGTCATTCAATCCTTAAAAGTAGTATGGACACCATTTTTGTTAAATTTGCCCTAAAGGACATATTTTATGTGGAGTATTGATATCCATGTAACAAAAAAATTAAAGGGATTGTGTTTCACACCGTAAATATGCACAAGGTCTGGTGTGTGATGGCGGCATGTCTCGTAAGATAGAGCGTCTAGTAGATCATCAGTATCAGGGATGTGTTCATAATTGCGGGTGTGACTTTCATGTGGAAATGGCGGAATGGCGGAAGTGATTGAAAGCTGTCAGTAGAACTTTAGAAGAGCTAGATAGATCATCAGCGTCATCAGGGCGAGAGGCACATTTGAAGAATGCAGATTTCAGAGATTCGGGAGAATTCAATATCGTGGTACGGAGAGGCTAGTGTAGATAAAGATTAACGTAGGTGCCGTAGTTGTGTATGAAGGGATAGGAGTGGGTGCTGGACGTATAGTACTGTCGAGCACAGGAGCAACTGGTGGTGTAGTCGGTACAGCGGATGTGGGAAGCGATTCAGGGGTAAGGGGAGCAATGTATGAGATTCTGTCTTGACGAATGGTACCAAGGCACTGGCAGTGGAAGATTTTCGTGTGCCAGGCGACAGAAATAGAGTAAGTGGTGAGGGTGGTAGAACAAAGTCAGGTCTTGCCATCAGCAGACCACTGTGATCATTTATCTGAGAATAACTTGAAATTGCGAGAAATCGTACGTTTCCGAGTATTGTTAAAAGATTGAATGATGTGTATTGTATTGTCGGACAGTTTTCAGCACGGCGTGAAGAGACGCCATAGTAGCAGTGGTCATCGTATTCGTGACTACTATTGTGGGCAGGATCTTCGATGCGGTAAGACACAACACAGCCGTATCGAGCCCGGAAAAAGCGTTGTACAAACTTGTTTAAATGCCATTTATCCGATGGAGTTAGGGTCGTTCTAAACGGGAAAGCTTTGCTGAAGCAACTTATTGTACAGTTCGTTTTGATACGAGATATGATACAATGATTTTCACCAGGACCAATTGGCATAAAATCGAATCCGTACATATCAGGGAAATTCATGGCATCCTATTGTACTATTTAGGAGGCTATGGAAAATTTCTTGAGACATGCTTTTAAAAATATGGTCATAGAATATACTTTTTTTTCAATTCAAAATAGAATATGCATTTTAGTGGTATTTTTAACGAACCCTTAGCGACTTTCGGCTGAAGGTTAGCAACAAATTTTGGTATCCTTCATCCTTGTTGTTGAACGAAATATCAATAAATTAAGGTTCTGATTGGCCGAAAATTACATTTCACTAAATTGATTTAGTGGAAAGCTCTCGTGAACAGCCCTTAACATAACATGGGCCTAGGCGAGAGCCTGTCACCAGAAAGGAAGAGGTTTGCTAATTAGAGTCCGGTAGGAATATGCGCACAATGAAGTTTGAGGCATCGTGCACGGGTATGTGGAGGAGAAAGAGCCATGTTTTGATCCAAGGGTATAGCGCGGTTCTCGGCTAATTGCAGTACGGAGTCGCCATCGGCAACGGAGTGTGCGGCTAGTAAATTGGTGAGACGTGCGCGAGAAGGCTTTGATATGGTTAGGCATCTTCTTCTTGGACTTAAGGTTGTGAAAACAGCACTGGGTACCACCATATACCATATTTAACAAATATTTGTTACCGACTCTATCTTCAGACTGTACATTGGACGTTGAAGATTTACGTGGATTTGGTCTGCAGTACAGTAGGCAGTGTGTGAAGTTGCGTGTTGAGCTGGCTTGCGATGTATTTTACCTGAAAGAAATATTTTATAACAATGCCCAGGGAATTTAGGATGGGACATGACAAGTGCGATGGCAGCAATGAGGCTAGTGGCAGGAACTACTGCCCTGTAGAGGGGGACAATGAGAATAACAAGAGCAATTATCCACGTAAGCTTACAATGGATTGCTTGCCATGTTAAAGAAATATTGTAACAGTATCACGAGTTATATACGGTTGGCTTTGGATTCGGAAGACGACCATGGACCACCACTTCGCACAAAGACGGACTTGGACAACAAGAGCCAGCTTGCTGCCGGCACGCGTGTTCATACGGGGAATATCGTTTGGGATTCGCATATCCCATCTCAACAAGAAAGATTGGCCTCACGAAAGTCATCAAGGATACCGCCATCTGGGCTGACCAAGCTACGAAGCTGAGTATTGCCATAGTTGTACATTGATCAATGGTTGGCTCCCATTCAAGATGGGTCATTGCTTTCAACCATAGTTGTGGGTTAAACTGGTAACTCTCAGTTGTTACACCAGGAGGAGGAACGTTCGCTATCGCACGACAACGATGAGCATTGTTACAGTGGTATACATCATACGACATCGCCGTGGGTGGGGGTCCAATATCAGGTCTGTGAGTGACAGTAGGAGGGGACAGTGGTATACCCGCAGTAGTAGTACAGGGCAGGGGGTCAGGCGATATACAAAGTGAGACCAGTTGGTAGCTAAGTTGGAATCAGGGGCAGTAGCAACATTCGATTTTAGGTACCGGAAAGAGTGATGTGAAGAGTGTTCTTCCAGGCGGGTTATTTTGTATCGAAATCATTATCTTGCATATTGTTTTAAGCAAAAGGGAATCCTCAAGACCAGAGCATACATATTTAAGGCGAAGGTTGGGAAGCATACCGCGGCTATAGTAAAACAAGTGAATGACTGAATCAACCAACCTAGTACTAGGTTGGTTGGTTCTGTCATTCAAATAATTTACTATAAAACCGTAAAGATCGCGAGTTCGAAAATTGTCTTGGGTCAGCCCCGGACGGCCAAATTGTATGAAGTTTTGCCGTTCGCATAGTTGTTAAGTTCGGAACTTATAGATTTCGGCTGGCGCCTGAAAAAAAATTCTTGAGCTCCTATCAATCGCATATTCTGCATCCGTCCAGACTGTGGCATTGCCTCGAGACGAGTCAACCCACTCTATTAGAAACTCCTGCAATTTTGAATTAGTAACCGAATTAGCAGGATAATCTACCTAGCTTTTTGTACATATGTCAGCATCCTTAAGTTGTCGCTCCGCTTGATAACCCCTTCAATATGCTATATGGCCTTACCCAACGTAGAAATTGATTGTTGAGTCTCAGATACCAAAATGGTTCAGCGTAGCATGAACCTCTGCTTTGGTTTCTTTATCCAGTAAAAAAATTATGCCTCCACCTCATCAGCAAGTAGTCGTTCCAACAATCGAACACAGGCTTTCTTCTTGCTCACGTAGTAAATTTATGCATCGTGGTAACAAAAAAACTACAGAACTATTCAATTTTAGTTAGCTTAGCCTGTAAGAACGTAACTTAATAAATACAGTAGTTCGATCACTTAAAAATATAGCCAAAACCACGCTTAGTAAAGAGTGTTAAGTCAGAAATAAGAGAACTCAGTCAGAAATGTCATTAGAAATGGCGCGCCTGCTGTATTTATTAATCACGATCCTATGTGGAACGAGACTTTCTCTACCCATCGGGTAATGTATTGTTTACGTACCCGTATCTATGGTTTTGGACGAGTCATCACTCCTATCATATTAAATTCTCTATTCCACCAACTGGTCCGGTCCTCTGGTCCGGTCCTAAACTTCGCTCTCAAGTCCGGTCCTCTGGTCTGGTCCTAAATATCTGCCCAGGGTACTTCGTCTACACGGCGATAAATAACTAGTGTATTGTGATCAGTCAAGCGAATAAGGAAACGGCCATATTAGACTTTAATGGGTAATGTGTTGAGCACATTATTGATCAAATTGACTGACGCACTACTATCAATTGAAAGTGACGTGCTTTGTGCCAAATGATATACAAGAAGAACTGCAACAAGAACCACGAATACTGAGCAAGTTAAATTAAATTTATGCTTGCGCTAGAAACAAACTTTAACTACATGACCCGAAATTTATATCTATAGAAGGCGAGGCAACCAGCACTACATGCATGACTAATTTGTCCTGACTCACCACAATGCTCACAGTATTTGCAGTAAATACGCGTCTTATGAGTAGGGTCCAAGTAGATAAACCATGCGTTTTGAATCGCCCTGGAACGACGTTTCGGGGGAGGGGAGGTGGTCTGGGGCTTGCCAGATACTCGGCCAAAATATTTAGCTCGGATAATGGTTTCTTTATGTCGTCGTTCATCGTAAGGGGAAAAGGTATTGAAGAATGCAAGTTCGGCTTGACGTTGCTCGAGGAGGGTGGCAACTTGACGGCGGAGAGTAGCAGTCATTGGGGTCTCGACAATGCGCCATTCAAGGTCAGATTGGTGCCAGCTTTCAAAGTGGCCACAAATAAAAAGTGGGATACTGTCTTGGGTACCACGTTGTCTAGAAGAGAAGAGAAACCGACGCGCTTTGTCTTGGTTAGACTGAGCAAGACCAGAGATAAACGCGTCTTGGATGAAAGGTATAGGAAGTGTGAAGCCTTGGTCTTTGGTGTCATCACGAATCTGCCAGCATCGCTGAGACCAAGCACGCATGGCTTCATCCTCATCACATTGCTATGAAAAAGAAGAAAAAAGCAAGGTTGATTGATATCGATATTTTCTTGTGTTTGTAGCGGTACTGATTTACCAGCTGGCTCGGTAGTGTTCAGGGGTCATGAGGCAGTGTCTTGGGCTTCAGAGAGAGGCGAAGTTCGCGAGAGAGAGAGCTAAAAAAGATCGCTCGAGCGCGAGTATAGAATTTTCTTCTTTTGATGCGCGCAATGAATCTATTTATCTCCAGTTCTGTGTAGTCACGGCCAGGGATGTGATTTTGAATGTTGCCAGGGATGCCGCTACAAGATTGTGAGCGACCACGAGGAGCGGCGAGGTCGACATTGAGAATGTCGTCAGGAGGCGGAAGTGTATAATTTTATTTATGTCGTAGTCACCAAAAGAGGTTGTAGCGGCCATGTATAGGTCAGCACGCCGGTCGTCGTAATTGTCGCGGTCAAGGGAAAGTTTTTCCCAGTATTTGCGACGCTGATAAAAACATGGGATATCATAGTTTGCAGATGTAGAGTTTACCATGTTTAAGTTGAATTAGAGAAACTACAAATTATAGCACATTTTAAACCTACAGAGTCCAATAATCGTTGGACACAGACGAACATACTAAAATACAATTTAGGCGTAAGAAAAAAGTAATAGACTATTGTAAGTTGTCGTACACATATGCAGGACAACTATAAAGAACCTGGATGGTCCTCGCAAATAGCTCACCAATAGAACAAATAAAGGGGTCCGGGGATGCCCTTATTTTTAGATAGCAATCTAGTTCGAAAAGTGCCACACGTGTGGTTTAAGACAGCCCCATGCGCACGAAAGCAATCAGAAATATCTCAAAAGTATTGAAGGGACGGGAAGAAGTGGCTTTCTCGGGTGCTGGCCAAGGTGATCGCGGAGCAGCTGGAAACCATGCTTGTGTGTCTGCCCGTGTATGCCGCAAGCCCAATGGCGGAGCGGGCTATGGCGCCAGTAGTGTAGGACATAGTTTTATGACCATGCATGACCACAACATTTTTTTCTGAGCCGCGCTATATTCTTCGAAGCTTCCAGCATATGACGGGAAATAGATACCCATGAGCAAGATCGGTTGTCATGGTATTACAGCGCTTACATACAACTATGTTATAGTTGGTATAACCAGACTGACTGATAAGTACTACGATACAAAAATGCAAACATCAATGAGTCGATTTCCGGTAGCTTATATAGTCTTCTGTAGAACGCTGAAGTACTTTATAAATTCTTTTCGGCACTCCAGTTGCATCCCTGCTCATTTTGAATGTTGCCGTCTTCGACGCCGTTGTCTATCCGAAGAATACCGTGACTAAGATGTCAATAGTATTGTCGAGGTTTCTTTGTATTCTTTCAGGTTCTGGACCACAATCTATGTAACCTGGATGCCTCGAGTTTCCATTGTATTCGAACTCAACTCTAAAGACATTTGAGGGCGCCTGTGTATACTCGGAAGTGTCGGCCTGTACCACATCGTAATGTTTGTGGTCGTCTCGAAGGAGTCTGTCGTTGACAAGGGTGACTACATTCCTTCGTAGCGTTGTAGTGGACGTCAGTTTGACGACCCACGACAGAACGTTTGATTATTAAGCTTCGCATTTAAGTTGAATATCGACACCAGTTTGAACCAGTTATAAAGTATAAACTCTTAAAGATTTTAGTGCCTGGGGTTTGGGTTCGTAATATTTGCCTGGCTTTTGTTGTAAACGTGCGGTTGTTCATAAGTACCTTTGTGACAAGAAGACCTTTCCTACTTACTAAGGAGGCTCAACGAAACTGTCTTGCTGTTATAATTTTACTCAAGCTCTCCGAGTCAGTCCCAGAGAGAGAGAGAGAGAGAGAGAGAGAGAGAGAGAGAGAGAGAGAGAGAGAGAGAGAGAGAGAGAGAGAGAGTAGTAGTAGTTAGTTTGTTTAGTTACGTTTACGTTTACGTTTTTCGTTTACGTTACGTTTAACGTTTAAACGTTAACCGGTAACGGTTAACGTTACGTACCGTACGTACCGT